ACATAGACCTCTAAGATATCTCCTGCTGCAATTAATGGGTGTAAATGCTCGCATAGTTCAGAAGCAATATAACCAACATGTGTCCATCCGGTTCCATGGTCTAGATCAATTGCACTTGAGTCCGTTGGATTCAATTGCTCTGGCCAATGAAGAGCAAGGTATGCCTGTTCCAAAATGATGTTGGTAGTTTTTCGCATGAGCAGCACCGATGCACTTGAAATTTTGAATGGTACAGCATGGGTGATTTTGTCCTCGTCACTTTCATCCTCATCACTTAACCGGTCACCACTTTCTGCCCTATCACCTTCATTACAACTTTCTACCCCATCACCTTCATTATCTGACCAGGTTCAAGACCAGCCAACCACTCAAATAGATCTCTTTCTACAAAATCATAACAAGAAAAATGTTATTTTATTATTTTATACATACACTGTAATCTCTAAAATTAGCAATCTAATGCAAAAGTATGTCACTATTCACAGTAATATTAGAACAACACACAAGTATGGCAATATTATTTACAGATGAAAATTGAAAAATATATAACTACTGTATGCACATATATGTAAAAATCTATCCACAACTAGATAGAAACAGGCATCATACTTCAGCAAAAATTTATTAAACAATTTGTTTAACTCAAAACATGTACATAATTATGTATCACAGTGACACAGTACATAGACACACACAATAGGGTCAAACTATAGGCAATAAACACAAATATTACGCTATAATTTTGTACAGTGTATTTATGAAATTACAGTACAGTACAGTACAGACAGTGCAAGAATAAAAACAACAAAGCTGAAATTTGACTAAATAACAAGATAACTGTAATGCATTGTAGTATACCAACCTTATTAAATACTGCGCTTGTTTTTACGTTGATGATACACGGAGATTTAATAACGCCATCCAACTTTAATTAGAAAGAAGAGCCTTGCTATTGGGAATATTTATATAAACACAATTCCTTCGCTCAGACGGATTATTTATAAACTAAACTAAAATGACAACACGTCCCATGCAATTTAAAAAAAGGGTAAACTTGCTATAGTAAAACACAAGTCATAATGAGGATCGCAACAATACAGCAATATGCTGTTTTCACAGAGTATCTGACACTCTTGTCGTTCGAAAGCTTCCATATTTGTTTAGTCAGAGAGCTGTTCACTCCTCGACAGTCAACAGTCAATGAAGCCACGCGTCGAATTAGTCGCTCGATACCCATGATGCTTTGCGGCCTGCTGTCCAACCTCCTCTGTAAACACGAGTTAAGGTTACATTATATGATGAAAACAATGATTTCATCATTTTTTACATTTTCATTGATTTACTGGTTCAGGGGCTGGAGATCTCTCGATTGCCGCAAGTTTTTTTCAGACATATTAAAATGCATCCGAAATATAACAAAAAATGTTATAACCACTGATTCTTTTGCCGCGAAAGTTGTAACCTTACCTGAACGTATTGTTCCCGTAAGAGTCACAAGATCATCTGCTAATGTCAACGCAATCTCATTCCGTCAACGAAAACATAAAACAACAACTTATAATCGATCATTCTTTCTTCGAACAACTAGAACTTGGAACTCTCTCCCGGAGCATTTAAGGCTTATTAATCTATCTTTTATTCAATTTAAGAAAGGAATATTAGCATACTACTTGACTGCATTACGATCCTGCTACAACGTTGACGATCCACGAACTTGGAAGACTGTCTGTGTCAAATGTAACACAAGCACAAGTCTCATCCAACCATTAACTTGCTGTTACTAGAGGGGCGTTTGCACATTGCGATTTGTCCTGTGCGGATTTTGGTGTATGAAATTCATTTGATGCCTCAATTCCAAAAATCTGAATTGAAGCGAAACTTTAAATGCACAATTGACGCATGCCTACTCGACTGGATTCGCCAAAATACGAGTCGTACACGGCGGATCGCGGTGTGTAAACGTACCTTAAGTAAACTAAGTATAATTACATAGGTGATTATTGAAAATTTTCCACGCTGATTGGTTGCCGTTGAGGTGATTATAACGCGATAATCACTTAAGTTTTGACCATTAAATGACGAAGAAATGTGTATTTTTTTATTTTTCCCCCCAAATAATCACCTATGAAATTATACTAAAACAATTATTCGCCTAAGGCTCGGTGGTCATTGTTAAATGAAAACTTCGACTTTGTCTCTGTCCCTACTCACCGATAAGCACCTAGCCTTCGGCAATAAATTGTTAATTATTTCTGTTTTCTATATATTGATATTTTGTAAAGGGCCCACTGTAATTGGTGTTAAGCTGTTGTGGTGTCCCAGCTTCTTTAATGCAATTATTGTATAATGTTTGGAAGCGAAGCACAATAAATAAATAAATAAATAAATTGCAATTGACAATGTGTGGATAGATGTGATACTCGATACCGGATGTGTGACCTTCAACCTCGCTGGTGTCTTCGTGGTGCACGACAGATCCTCTACTGCATTTTCGTTTGGCCGATTTAGATCGGTCTGTATAGCTATCCCCTTTTTACATTTGCGTTTTGCCGGCATATTAGCAAGTTTTTTGTGTGGTTTCTTGCATGTACGGTTTGTGATAAACTGATAATGAGTGAATGACACCGAAAACCCTTGCCAAAACACACTAAACTAATTTTAATCCGATTACAGTTCGAGATGATAACAAAGAGCAGGAAAACCTCGCCAAATCTAATATCGTCTTTTACGGAGATTGAAATATTCTCAGATTGTCCGTACAAAAAACGCACACGTTTTATCCGATTTCCTTCAAACTTTGCCACAATGTTGAACAATAGTACAGGAGCAAAATCGTGTGCGCGTTTTTTATTTAGTGCCATACTTTTCAAGCTATATAGGCATCTACTCTGCAGTTCTCCCAAAATTCAGATGAGTCAACTTGTCTGCTTTATATCAAAGCAAATACAATACCTGTCAAAAAACGCGAACAGTGTTTTCTTCTTTGATCATTGGAGATGGGAAATATTATGTTTCGGAATCTTTTGAGGTAAATCAGAAGCGTTCTAATCTCGTGGCGCAAAGGCTGTCATATTTTCAAAAGCAGTCCGTAGCAAGTACACTTTTTAAAGATGTACAATTTTTGGCAAATCGTTAGCTACAGCAATGATTTATCATTATGCATGCCAAACGTGAAGGGGAATACTTGAGAATTGAGCGCGCGGTGAGCATTTTGGCGAAATGGGTTTCCATCATGTGGAGTAACCTTAATTTGCATGATCATGAGTCATGACAGTTCTTTACAAATTGAAAAGCCCAAAAGGAATAAAAATATATAAAGTTAAGTCAAGACGTACATGTAGTTATTTGTACTAGAAATATTGACATCATTGCAATAATATGCATATAGCATTTTTAAGAACTAAATTGCATTCGCTGTGACCGAACTTTAAACATTTTTTGCCAGGCATGGAACACCTCCTCAAAATACGGAACCAAACATGTTAAAAATTGTGTACATTAACATGGGCAATTTGAACCCTTTACTAATTAGCGCCATTTTCCCACGAATAATTTTAATTGCACAAAGAAATATAGATAAAACTTTGGTTTAAACTCAATTTCAAATGATGACCATGCTCTAATTTTTAAGTTATACCTCAAAGACGATGAGCCAATTCAACATGAACATTTAATTATTGGTATATTGACACCCTGTCGCCCGCTTAATTTGGCATTAGGAGACCATTTCAAATACTTGAAAGTAAATAACAAATTTCGCATTTTCGCTGACATTTTAAGTGGCTGTCTCACTAAGAACCATGCAGAGCGTTTCAGGTTGAAAATTAGATTTCCTTTATATTTTTACCATGAACTACCTTTGTCCTAAAAGGTATTAAACTAATATTATAATTTCTAAATTTTTCTTATTTTTTGAGTTTTGACGAATTTTTGTCTGGACGTCAACGACACTGAAATTGACCCCGAAAACGGCGGTCAAATGTGTGTTAAATTGTGCATCATAACTCGGGAAGTTTCGCGTCAAATTAAAAACTTTTTTCAGCGTATTGAGACATATTCGTCTTCTTTTAGAATGTTGAAAGAATTTGAAAGTACATCTTATTTTAAGCCTACTAGTCTCCATCCAAGGATGTCGGTATTTTCATTCGCCGAACAACTTATGATTAGGTACAAAATTCAAACTAAAAATTCTCAAAAGTGCAACCTACCTGGTGTCTAAAACACTTTTAGGGTTAAAGTAGAATACTTAAAGTTATGTTATTCGCAATAAAACTTGTCGGCAAAAGGAATATGAAGGAGTGCAAAATTCATAAATTATGGCTATAAATAGCTCTATTGTTTACCTTTGTGATAACCGGAAACACGTTCAAGGTTGCTCGCGGAGTTTTTATAGCGACTAATATATTGCACAATCATTGTATTTAACTCAGAAAAGTTTAATTCGATCGATGAAATGCGACGGATCTTTGAGGTCTAAAACGGTCAGAAGAAATAAATTCGTCTAGGACGTTGTATCCCTCATGATCGGTCAATGCCAATGTCGAAAATGTGTGTTGCCGTAACGTCGCATCGAATTAATAAATTGAATCCATGAAGTTGTTATTATATTCTGTTAAAAGTTTTCCGCATTGCCCATTTGGCAGAATTTTTGTCCTTTCATGCAAACCATTCAATTCATCGTATCAAACGATCTTAGTTGCAGTGACATTGACTAGCTGCGACGTATACTGAGATCTGTCCTTTATCTTTAATCTATACAGCAATAATAATAATTTTTCAGTAGTTTGCAGCTAATCGCCATTCTGTGAATAACTTTCAATTTCAATTGGTATTTTTCGGCAAAATTTGATTTGTCTCATAATAGTAGCATAAATTATAGCAATAAAAATACATAACATCGTAGTTTGCATGCGGTGTTTTTTATAGTGCTTAATTTGGGTTAACGATACTGTTCCAGGCTCCACACACTCGCGGACCAAGAACAATGACATCTCTCGACATGTCCAAGTTAGTCTGGGAGTATTTGTCCGCACCTGCACAGTTTAGTTATTTATTTGGAAACATGTGCATTGCCCAATCATGGATGATATTTTATCTATGAGAGTCTGTATTTTATCCTTTGATTTGAACTGAAGTTCAAAATGCACACAAATTTCTTTCAGCATCGTTATTTTAAAAACAGATAGGCCCTTCTGTTTGTACATGTCATATAAATCATACGCGTCATGGTATATAAGATGGCATACGTCGATCTCAGCAAGCATTTTCCACAAGTTGTCCACAAGCATTTCTCTTTGTGCTTTCGCCTCAAAATGAAGAACACGTAAACTTACGCATTCTCCTTCATATTAAAATAATTTTTCCCTCCGCGTCATTAAAGTACTAATTACAACACGTAAAGAAGTAAAAGTAGCGTAATACTTACGAGATCCTGTTTGAATTAATTTCCCATAAAGAGTAAAAACAGTTTTTGATAATGACACATTGAAAACATCTCTTCCTGTACACTTACGAACAGGACCCGATTGGAGGGAATACTGGCACGGTCTTAGCGGCCTCCAAAATCGTCCCAAATTATGACGGTGGGACGGACAAATAAACATCATCTTAAATTGGTCTTCGGTAAGACTGAACATTCCCGCGCGAATAGCAATTAACTCGTTTCCTCTCAAGTTCGATTTAGAAAGATGACAGTTTGATAGTTGAACACTCTTATCTTCCTTACAATCAAATAAGCAACTAATGTCCTGTAATCCACGACTTTCACCACAAGAAATTCCACCAACGCCAACAAATGAACAACTTTTCTCCATAATCAAAACTAAACTAGTAAGCTTCTAGAAATATCTAAAAACGGCACTTCTTTGCGTTAATTTTCTGTTAAACAAAACAGGTGTGGAAATTACAAAGGAACACTGTCATTGATTTTATTTAAGAAATAAGTTTAAAAAATACTCCAATAATTAGTTTTAACAATGGCGCACTGAAGAACAAGAACAGCTTGTATACATTGCGTCTGCTATTATTTTCTGCTATTATTTTCGTGGTTTTTTATTATTATTTTATAAATTAGAGAAAATTAAACTGAATTGGCTACCAACGTAATCCCCTTGGCATACAGACTACAGTAAGGCCACATAAAATAAATTCCTTGATTCTCATCACCGCCCGACTGTATATTAAGAGCCGCGTGAAATTTTTTTATATTTTGTTATACAATATAAACGAACCGCCAGACAAAATATTTCAAGACAGTTAAGTTTCTTTATATTTAAAATTGGGTTTTTAGTGTCATTTTAAACTGCCAATTTCGAACAAATAGAACTTTGAAAGAAATTTCATTGCATTTTAACGGAACTTCGCATTCAGTTCAAGGATTCAGTCATTGTTCGTGGAGAAATATGTTCATTTTGGTTTGTGACACTTCATTTTGGAAATCACAGAAATATTAAATGTTAGGAATTATTTTTTTATTTATTGATGATAAATTATATAAATATAAATATAAACCTCCCGGCTCTTCGACATTTTCAAAGTCTAGTGATGAGAATCAAGGAATTTAATTTATGTGGCCTAACACAATTTATTAACCTCGAAATTTTTTCGACAACTCCCGAACGTTTGATTAAAGATTAAATTTGCGAGATTAAATTGTTTGTTGAAGAATAAACACGCGAAAAATAACTTCCATGTAGCAAGTTAACTATAAAGTTTAGTATTATAATAATATTGTTGCTCTCGTAATATAGCGTGTATTCTATTTATGGCACACTCATCAGTACGTATTAAACAACGATAATATATTGTACATTATGTTGGCGTGCAACTATTTAGTAATTTTAATCAAGTTTAAAACGATCAATTGTAAAGGCTTTCCGAAAGCTTAAAAAAAATACAAGGCGGTGTTTGTATTCAAATATAAGAACTTATAAACACTATTTTATATTTATATTAATTGCTGATATAAATTTATAAAAACTCCGTGAGTAACGCTGAACGTGTTTCCGGTTATCACAAAGGTAAACAATAGAGCTATTTATAGCCATAATTTATGAATTTCGCACTCTTTCATATTCCTTTTGCCGACAAGTTTTATTGCGAATAACATAACTTTAAGTATTCTACTTTAACCCTAAAAGTGTTTTAGACACCAGGTAGGTTGCACTTTTGAGAATTTTTAGTTTGAATTTTGTACCTAATCATTAGTTGTTTGGCGAACGAAAATACCGACATCTTTGGATGGAGACTAGTAGGCTTAAAATAAGATGTACAGTCAAATTCTTTCAACATTCTAAAAGAAGAGGAATATGTCTCAATACGTTGAAAAAAGTTTTTAATTTGACGGGAAACTTTCCAAGTTATGATGCACAATTTAACACACATTTGACCGCCGTTTTCGGGGTCAAATTTCAGTGTCGCTGACGTCCAGAAAAAAAATTGTCATAACTCGAAAAAAAAGAAAAATTTGGAAATTTTAATATTAGTTTAATACCTTTTAGGACAAAGGTATTTCATGGTAAAAATATAAAGGAAATCTAATTTTCAACCTGAAGACAGCCACTTAAGATCTGCTTAAATCTAAATCTAACTAGCTCTGCAGTCAACATCTTGTGGTCGATGTCAACCTCCATTTATTTCGTATAGTCCCCTGTTGAAAATATACACATGTAGTCCAATGCAAAGCTGAGTTCACGACGTACTTTAGCCCTTCAGATGCCTTTCCATTAAGATTATCAACTGTTTGATAATCTTATTTGATAGCAAACAGTAAAATACCGTATTTAGTCTTTTAAGCGCTGCGGTGATCTTTAGATATTACTGCTAGCGATGATGCGCTTATTTGAAGACGTTTAGGATGTTAGGGTTTGTAATCCAAGTGAGAATATATACATTTTAAGACCTATAACCAGGAACGACTGCGAAAAATGCAGCACAAGGTCCTTTGGTAGGAATTGAATCTACGGCCCTGCGATTCCGGAGCAGCTCTCTAACCAACTGAGCTACAGAGGCCAGTTGTTAAGCTGTAACCATAAGTTCATGTATAGGTAATCGGGTGTGCGGGTTGTGATAAGGTGGACTTGAATAACTTAGATTCTTGCACTTCACTTGGTGGAATTGATATTAGGATGCTATTCAAGTCCACCGTATCACAACCCGCACACCAGATTACCTATATATATATACATTAACTTACGGTTACAGCTTAACAGCTGGTCTCTGTAGCTCAGTTGGTTAGAGCGCTGCTCCGGAGTCGCAGGGCCGTAGGTTCAATTCCTACCAGAGGACCTTGTGCTGCATTTTTCGCAGTCGTTCCTGGTTAGGTCTTAAAATGTATATATTCTCACTTGGATTACAAACCCTAACATCCTAATAGTTATTCAAGTCCACCTTATTTGAGGACGGTCCTTCTTAAGCGATAACAAGAAAGAGTAGCAGCAAAAACAAATATAAAATCACTGAGCATGTAGAAGAAAGACGATCAGTGTTAAGGATCGTAACTTCGTATCAAAAAGGTTTTCTTTCCAGAATTGGGTATCGTGAGCAATCTTTTAGACCGTGCTTCAGTTAAGTACCGCGTTTTTGCGAATAAAATGCGGCGCATATTTGAAGGCGGCGCTGTCAATCGGCGGGCCAGTGGCGGGGCTAAAACGAGAAAAAACGGTCTTCTGCAAAAGTATATACTTTTGTTCTTCGACGCGAAAATTGCAGCTTAATGAAAAGAAATGAGCCCGCTATTTTTGAAATGCATTTCTAGTTTACATTTAATATCTTCTACAAGACAGCTAAATTCTTCTACAAATGGCATCTCTCCATAATTATATATTTCTGTTTTTAAACGTAGCCTAAATATACTGAATTAAGGCCCTGTCACACTATTGCGTATCGTACTAGCGTATAGCAGCGTATGAAAAATATCACTCATGCGCTGGAAAACGCTGACATCCGCAAGGGGTACGTTAGACATAGGTTGTATACGTTTCTACAACGGTCGCATACGGTGGCATACGCCGAGGCAGAAACTATTTTTAAGCATGCTTAAAAATTTTGTGCGTATTCGGACGTATGGTTTATAAAATAAGCATATTCTAGGTATACACGCTGAATACGCTAGAGGTTCGCCGGATGTACGGTACTCACACGCTGGCATTTCAAAGGATTTTTGTGCGTATCAAAATTATTTCATTAATTTTCATACGCTTCTCATAGGTTTCACTCATACGCAATGGCGTGACAGGGTCGTTACATCATAGAGTAATTATTATAACAACAGCGATGTTACAATTGCGGTTCGTGTGGCTGAAGGCTCGTGTGGTTCGTGTGCGTTATCCGTGCGATTAATGGCTGTTCATTGTGCTGTTTGTCTTGCTTCGCTTTATTAATTAATGTCCCGCTTCTAGTGTGTTCCTAACCCAAACTGTAAGTTAAAGAATTATATATTTTTTGCTCCTAACTACAAACTTGAATAGACTTGAATTTATATCCACTGTCGATTTGCTTTTGTCCTTTAATTTATTCTACTTGCAATCCAGCAGCAAATACTTCGACTTCAATGATGTTTAAACGTAGAGAAGACAATGATTGAATGACAAGATATCTTCCAATCAATGGTGGTGAACAGGAAATTTCTTTACTTTCTCCATGTGGTACTGAATGTCGATCTCCACATTTTGTGTTATTTCGTCCTTCGTTCTCCAAACTGTTTCCAATCTTGATTTCAAAATCCGATAAGCTATTCGCTTTATCTTTTCTGTTTGTAATGACAACACGAGCTACGGGTATGACAATCTAGGCACAATTTTTGAACAAATGTAAATATATATATTTTGAAAAAAATAAATGAAGAATTGATGGAATCTGAAATAATCTCATGTTTATGATGGTGCACCATATATTCCTTGTCCCACAAAGTTGAAAATGTTCTAGAGTGTGTATTTTATAATTTGCAGACCGCGCGCAAGCAGAAAGATATTGCCTGCCGCGGCTGGGTCTTGAGCGCACGACCTCCGAATTACTGAGCTACACGGTCAGGCGGATATGAGACTGGAAATTATAAACTATATACTGAATGTCATAAACATACTCGTATATATATATATATATATATATATATATATATATATATATATATATATATATATATATATATATATATATATATATATATATATATATATATATATATATATATATATATATATATATATATATATATATATATATATATACACATATAGAAAGACACAAAAACCTAGATATTTATTACTATACAGTTTCGTACCACGTAAATAACGTGGCACTCTTCAGATAAAATAGCCTATGTTTGACCTCTAACTTCTAACGAACTTTTTAAATATGTACAGACGGTAAAGAATGCTTATCTAACAGATCAATTATTATTATTATTATTATTATTATTATTATTATTATTATTATTATTATTATTATTATTATTATTATCATTATTATTATTATAAGAACATATTTAACTTCAGTCTACGTTGCATCAACAATTCTTTGCCTACTAGGAAAAACCTAGTTAAATGGGGACTGTCATCATCTGCTGACTGTTCGTTCTGCTTCTGCCCTGAATCGCTTTTGCACATAATTTCTGGATGTAAGACATATCTAAACGAAGGGAGATATACATGGCGACATGATTCAGTTTTGAATCTCATTGCGTCCAGTCTTCTCGACGTTGGAAGGTCCAAAATGTATGTAGATCTTCCTGGATTTATTAGCCCATCTGTCATCACTGGTGACGAGTTACGACCAGACCTTCTATTGACAATTGAAAATAAGATTTTGTACATTCTAGAATTAACTGTTGGATTCGAAACAAACCTGAAAACTAACTCAGATCGAAAACATGAAAAATATTTGACTCTAATTACCGATCAAGAAAATATATATGATGAAGTTAAGTTTGTTAATGTATCTATAAGCTCTTTAGGTGTATTTGGTGAATCGACGAATATTTTATTTGATATGCTCCATGATCTGAAGTACGACGAACAATGTATTAAATATGTAAAAAAGAAAATAATTGCTACTTGTATGCGCACGTCGTATTATATATTCTGTAGACGAAACAAAGACTGGAACAACCCAGAACTTTTAAACTTTTAACTAAAGTTAAAAGATTTTCACCTGTATATATATATTAGCTTTAAACTCAATTCAAGTGGACATCGATAAGCTACCTTTCATCAAGTGAGGTTTATCAATGTATATATAGTATATCGTAAATATCTAATAAAAAGTTTCCATTATTATTATTATTATTATTATTATTCATCTTATTTAAAAACGGTAGCCCTTCAGATTAAACTGCTTTTCAAGGGGCCGTTAGAATATTACAAATATGAAAAATCTATTGTACATACTAACTATATAAAAAAAGAAAGCCCATGCAGTGAACACTATATATAAATTAGAATGACTCACATATATATAACTAGAAATAATATGTTATGTTAACCCTCCCAGACCCAAAAATTACTCCTTCGAATCAAAATCCGCCCCACAAGTGGTTGTCATACACTATTCCTCTCCAAATTGCCGTGAAATAGTTGTTGAGTAAAGTTTTGAAGTTACTTATGGAGAGCACTTTGTAGTTGTTGGTAACATCATTTGGAAGATTGTTCCATCATGTAGCACCTCGATATGAAAACGAATTCTTCAAGGAGTCTGTTTCAGTTTTCCCAAATAAAGTTTACAGTTATTACTTCTTAACGGGTACATATCATTTAGGCAAATTTTAAAGAAGTTGGTCATACATTTCAGTCTAATAAAGTCAACGTTTTTCTTTGATAATGTACGCAACATGCTGCGCATTTTACATTTAACAAAATAAGTTTTTGAAGCTAAATTAAACGATATGTATATGATTACAATCCGCGCATTATGTATTACGGCTGAAAAGTGTAGAGGTATCATATTCTGTCAAAATAACAACGGCTAGCGCGCTCGGTTGGCAATTAGCCCGACAACGCACAAATCATTTCGGTTTTCAATCGCGAAATCCCAAATCGTAGCAATTTATGGAATACTTCGGAACGCCACATACACATGAAATGTTTCGGTCTACCTTTAAGGGTCACGAACATATACTAGGTCTAGGAAATAAAATAGCAAAATTTGAGGCTCGAGCGTTGGCCACTTATACAGCGTAGAATTTATAGCTCAATATGTTTGCATCAGACATATGCAATTGACATAGTTATTCGCGACGTTCATGATAGGGACTATAACACTTGCAAAGCTAATAAAACCTATATATCCTAATATCCTATAACTTAGGACATTTTATCATCAAACAATACATTTATAGACTTATTAGGCTATACGAAACGGAAACATTTACTTGTTATACTATAGATAACAGCAAGATAAGAAATTGTTTTATTACTGGAGAAATTATTTTATTACTCTCTCTCTCTCTCTCTCTCTCTCTCTCTCTCTCTCTCTCTCTCTCTCTCTCTCTCTCTGCTCTCTCTCTCTCTCTCTCTCTCTCTCTCTCTCTCTCTCTCTCTCTCTCTCTCTCTCTCTCTCTCTCTCTCTCTCTCTCTCTCTCTCTCTCTCTCTCTCTCTCTCTCTCTCTCTCCCTCCCTCCCTCCCTCCCTC